TGGAACAGAGAGGAACCTGTCTGGGTGGCTGGAGGCTCATCCTGAGCACTGACCCCCGCTGGGTGATGCTCTCAGGGCTTCCTTTCCTTATTACTTTTAGCTTTTGATGCATTGGGTGGGAGCAGGACCATCTGCCTGCCAGTGCCACCTCCAGCTTTCACCTCCAGCACCGCGTGGGAACATCTTCTCCCCTGTTGGGTACCAGGACCTTGGCACGGTCTTTCCTCAAGGTGTATCAAGGGCTCGATTAAAGCAGCTCCCAGGTTCAACTGTTGCCTTTCCAGTGCCTCTGAAGAGTTGGCAACACCTTAGAAAGCTGCCCAAGACCGGCCACGGGGAGAGGAGACCGGGCAAAACACAGGCATGGACCCCTTTTCTTTTTAAAACTGGTTTATTCTACACAATTTTTTAAACAACATTCATAAAACATTAATTACAAAAATGTGCTAATATGGGGTAGGGTTTTTTTCTTTTTATTTATTAATTTTTTCTTCCAACAATCAGAAATTCACATTTGAAAGGACAGTCATACTTTTAAGACACACATTCAAATATTTTACTTCCAGATACAAAATTTTTGGGGGATATAAATTGCTTACAAGAAGCAGACGTAAAAAATAATAATAAAAAAAGAGGAATAATTTTAGGCTTCGGGATCTGATTTCAGCATTGAATTGAGTGACTGCTTTTGGACCACTGGCTCTGCTGGTCTGCCCAGAGTGCCCAGCAGGCCTGGGCACTTCTCAGGACCAATTCTGGAGCCACACATGACTCCTGCTGAGCCAGAGCCAGGAGCACAGTGGAAAAAAATGGGATTGCAAAGCTACTCACAGTGCTTGTAGCCTTTTATTGAGTCTCTCTAGTGGGTACAGACACCACGAGGGTGAGCATTACCAGCACATCACAGGGCGAAGCAATGCCTCCCACCCCAAAAACCCACGGGCAGGCTGCTTTCCATCAACAGTGGAGCAAATGCCAGCTGTGACAGGGCTGGAGAGAGGCATGGCATCGGAATCTGCTGACCAGGGCTGATGGCAGCAAGCTTGGAGGTCCTGTTTTAAAAACAATTACCCGAAACGGCCAAAATCCAAGCCTCCGCCCCGGTGCTCTCATGTGGAGCCAGCTCCAAAATCCACCCATCTGAAAGCAAATATTTGGCTTCATACTGCTGGATTTCAGGGCAGGGGAGGGAGAGAGGGGTAATTTCCTAATTGCCCTCAGCCTCCCCCCAAAAAAATCCTGCCTCTGGCTTTAACGGGTTCAAACAGCTGAAACAGGATATGCTGGGAAAGTTCAGGCCTCGAGAAGTCGTTTTCTTTCCCGAAACAATCGGAGCGAACGCGCTCGGCAGCCAAACCCCAGCTGCACTCAGGCAATTTGGCCCTCACCCACCTTGAGAGGAGCATCGACTCCACGCGAAAACCTGCTCCGGTAAACAACCCGTCTGCCACACCAACACTAAAAATGTACAAAAAGGGAAAAAAAGAGTTTAATTCCTTAGCAAAATAGACACTAAGCCTTGTCTCTAGCGCTACGGGTAAGGGCTACTCTCGCTGTGCCGGGAGGATGTGGGTGTAGGGGGAGAGTGGGGGGTATGGTACAAAAAGAGGAGAAACTTTGGAGGTAGAGAGCCTCCTTCAAAGCCATGTTTTGCAGGAAACAGGTGGAATTTTGTGTCTTGCCTGCACTGGGAATGTGGGTGCCAGCCCCGCTCCTGTGGTCGGAGTGTCGCCACCACAGTGCGTGGGAAGAGGGGATGTGGGGACGCTCGCAGGGTCTGTCCTTGAGGGGAGCACCGGGGGCATTGCAACATTTGAAAAAACAAACCAAGAGAGCCTCCCCCCGAAAGGGGCTGTGTGGGGTGAACCCACCCAAGCACAGCGATAACCTCACTGTCACCAGGGCCAAAGTCCACGGCATGGCCGTGCCAAGCTGATAAAGAGCCTGGAGCGAGTGGCATGGGGAGGGTCACCCCTGCAGACACGCCCAGGGCTCCAGAGCCCACTCAGAGCTCCAGCCATTCCTCTGTCTGCTTTCCTTCTGAGGGCTCTCAAAAGGAAGGGAAACAGCTTTATTTTGGGTCATTACTGGCCTGTGGATCCCCTCTCTGGTGCCAGCTCCATCCCCGCCTGGAATCACACAGAGGACCTCAGAGCTGAGTATTTAAGGAGCAATTTTCAATCACATCATTCTCCACAGAGGTTACAAGGGTGGCTTGGAAGCGCCCAAAAGAGCTGCTCGAGCTCAGGTTTGGTGGCACAAAGGCAGAGGGAGGGGCTGCTCCGCTTGCCTTGGCAAACGAGCCGGGGCTTTCAAAGTCATTCCGATTTTCTGCTTCCAGCTGGATAAGGAGATGCAAACTCTGCCAGCGGGAAAATGATTGAAGCTAAAATAACCAAGGTAACCCCCAAACAAAACTGTGGAGTACAGAAGAGCATGAAAGCTGGGAATGGTTTGCAGTGAAGGATGGAGGGACGGCAAAGGTCTCGGCTGGATCTGTCCCCCCGAGTCCAGAGGGTTTGGTCCAAGTTCCCCTTTCTCCAGGTTTTCATCCTGAGGACCATATAACCACAAAAAGATGCAGATGCCAGATAGGGTTGAAATCCACCCTAAGCCTCCCGAGACTCTGAACTAATCTGAGCAAGAGGAGGTGAGATCCTCAGCACCAAATCAGGCTGCCCATGTACCAAAGAGACCCTCTATTGCCATGCAGAACATTCCCGTGGCTCTGCCACACAGGGAAGGGCGGGAATGTCCTTGCCCAGCTGCAGACCACCTCCCTCCTGGCTCCTCCAGGCATCTCAGCCCAGAGGGTGATGAAACTCCTCGACTGGCAGCCCCAAATCACCACATCAGTGGGAGGCAGAGCCAAAACCTCTTGAAATTGGGGGTCCCCAAACCTCGTGGTACTGCAGCGGACCTGCAGAAGCCCTCAGGCCTGGATGGCAATTAGGATGTGGCCTTCCCACAGCTCCCACAGAAATGTGATAAAACCTCAACCCCAGCCACTGAGTGGTCAGAATCTGTTGAAATTGAGCTATGGGACTTAGACATGTGTGTGTCCCTGGCCACAGGACCTCAGGACAGGCCACACTGCAAGGAAGCAACTCCTGCAGATGGTTTCACAACTGAGAAAAGCTCTGAGCCATGAATCATGGCACTTCCCAGGCAGCTCCTGCAGCACTGCTACCCTTCCCATCACAAGCACCACCATCCCCAGAGCCCTCCCAGCTCGGCTGTCCCGCTCCTTGCCTTGGCAGGAGCGAGAGGAGTTAAATCCAAAGCCTCACTCTGGAGCAGTAGGGAAAGGAAAAAAAAAAAAGAAAAAGAAGAAAAGACAACAAGTTGGTTTTGAACACCCTCAAGGTAAAGATTTAAGAGGCAGCCCCAGCCCAGCCCCGAGCGGGCGCTGCTGGGACACGTCCTGTGCTCACTGTACACTTACATAAGGCTCTGCAGCTCTGCAAACACCCCGGCCATGGCGTGAAGTGGGGCCTTCCCTGCTCCCTTCCACCCCTTTCCCACCTCAGGGGCTCAACCTGCTCCCCTACCCTTGCTGGCTTCCAAAACTGGCTTAGCCTGGAGTGTCGGGCTCCCCCTTCCCCTCCTGGAGCAGGAATCACAGCCTGGCACTCACAGGGGAGGGAGAAGGTTGGGTTTTTTAATTAGAAAACTGAGCAAACAATTAGAAAACTGAGTTTTTGGACTGCTCAGCCCTCCCCTGCCCAAGGAGGATGTGGATGTGCTGGGCCAGGATGAGCAGATCCAAATGGAACAGGATGGGTTTGGGGATGAAGCTTTTTGCAGCACACAGGGATCCATTTGGTGTCACATCACCAGACCACCACAGGCCAAAAGGAGGTTTCAGAGCCCAGTGCAACTCCTCCCTGTTCATAGATGCTCCGATCACCACAATCCCACCTCTCACATGGCACCAGCTGCACAAGTCCTTGCCAGCTGCCTGATACCCTGAAGAGCCAAACTAGACCCACAGCAGCAGTTTGCTGACAAACCAACCCCAAATACTCCCTTTATGTCATCAGACTGCTCCAACCTTTGCCCTTCCTGTTCCCATCTGTGTTTGCTGACGAGGTGGCCCTATCATTGCTGTTGCTCAAACCTGCCTTCCCCGCTGCACAATTTGCCCCTGTCTTCAGCACGGGCAGGATGTCGGCCAGCTAAAGATGCTGAATGTGGTTTTGGGAGGCTGGTACCAGACATCACTCTGGGATAGGATGAGGGCTGGCTACCTCTGACCAAAATGGGGTTTGCCATGGACAAAGACCAAAATGTACTGGGAACCAATGTGGGTGCCAGCCCCTCTCCTGGGCAGAGGGCTGGCTCCTGGTGGACACAGAGCTGCTCTGATGCCACTGCAGTGCCAAGCACCAGTTGCACAAATTCAGGTTGCCCCCGGGGAAAGACCTTTGCAGGGTCGTGAAGTAATTAAGGCAAGTGAATTCTGCAGAAATTCGGGATTTGAAGCATCAATCATTTTATGAGCCAGGGAGGTTTCACCACAACGAAGTCTGGGCGCAGCCATCGGTGGGCTCTGCCAGGCAGCCATTTGCTCAGCCCAGACAGGGTTTGGAGGCAGCTCTGCACATCCTCTGCTTGGCCTGAAGAAGCTCCTTCTTGAAACTAAATGCTCTCCTTCGGAGGCATTAAGGAAAAAAATACGATTTAAGGAACCTCATCGAACCCCGATGTGAACAAATGCCCCAAACCATGCAGAAGGACTCATGGTGAGGAGTTCTTTCTTTCCTTCAGCTGTCAGAGGGCTTTGAAGATACCCCATTCCCACCTGAAATACATCACTTTAACACCCTGTCCTAGGCTGAGCCTGGCAGATCCCACCACAACGGAGCACAGACACCGTGGTGCCTGCCCTGCCTGCCCACGTGGCTCCATCTGCCTCCTGTGCCTCCAAAACTGGGATGGGTCAGCAGAGCCACAGGAGACGATGCCATGAAGGGTAAGAACAGTCATGGAAAAGCATGTTGAAGAAAGAGACAAGTAGACATCTCATTTTATAGTCATAAACAGACACATCACAACACACCAGGTAATTTTCCAGCTCGTACAGGGACAGAAGGGCCACAGGACCACAAAACCTTACAATGCATTAACCAACATAGGTTAAAAACAGGACCAGAGGGGCATGCAGGGACCTGAGCCTATGTACAAATGTCCCAGCACTGCCCACGGGAGGGACCTTCCACTGAACCCAAATATCCACAGCAAAGATTTGTCTTGGTGTTACAAACCCCCACACTCGCCTGGAGACCAAGGGGTGATTCCCATGGCCCACGTCCCCCTTCAGGCGTCTCAGTTTTTTAATGGCAGTTGAACAAAATGAAAATTCAATGAAGGATGGGTTTGCAGCCAGGATAAAAGTGAGTTTTGTTTCTTGCTCTCTCCCAGGAAAAGGTACCCCAGTCACCGTTGGCTCCTCGTTTACACAGGGACCCACTGGGGCAGGAGAACTTCCCTCCTCACTCGTTAACCACACTCATTAGCACTGCCTGGAGATGATCACAGAATCATGGAATGGTTTGGGTTGAAAGGGACCTTAAAGTCCATCTCATTCCATCCCCTACCACAGGCAGGGACACCTTCCACTAGCTCAGGTTGCTCCAAGCCCTGTCCAACCAGACCTTCAACAATTCCAGGGATGGGGCAGCCACAGCTTCTCTGAGCAACTGGAATTTCTAAAATTTCCTCTGGGCAATGATGAATTTCTCCACGAGGCTGAACTCTGCTGTCTCTCTGTGTGGTGGGTACCCACTGGCTGTGTGAGTTCCTTGTGCTCTCTCCCTCTCCCCCCAGGGACAGCACTGACCCTGCACCAGCTCCCCACGACAACACACAGGCGATGAGTGAAATGCTACTGGGGCTTCCCAACCCTTTGGAACACCGGGTTTCCCTTGCCAACACTGACTCCTGGTTATTGCTGCATAATACACAACTGGCCCCTCAAAAAGAGCAGTGGCACCCTGTGCCCTGAGCCAGCAGCATCCCCACAGCTGTGGGTGCCCCTGTGCCCAGCAGGGAAGCCACGTCCCAGCACGGAGCTGATCGAGGACTCACAGGGCTCTGTCCCACCCCTGTGTGCCTCGATGCCTCCGGAGTGACTGTCCCCGTGGCGATCCCAAGGATTTGGCCCTGTGGATCCAACCACTGTGGGCTGTGCCAGGAGTTGCCCCTCTCTTTTGCACCTCAAAAGCCCAATCATCAGTCACTGGGTGAGAAAACAGAGACAGAAAGTGGCCAAGGGACCTGCTGGTCTCGTCCATGCATTTTTAAGGCATATTTTGCAGGAAGGGTGTGCTCCCAAGTGGATCCTTTTGGTGGAGCCGGCCGAGCTCCCCATGGTCCCGGCTGCAGCTCCCTGGGTGAGCAGGAGAGCAGCGGGAAGTGGGGAGAGAAGAAGGTGGAAGAGGGACTTGCTGACATTTATTTGGTTTGTGCATCGGACTAAAGCAGCGCTTCCTCCTTCGGATCTCTGGCTCCACCAGGCCCTGGTGCTGGATGGGGAGGGGGTTGTCTCCCTTGGAAGTGACACCCCAGTGACACCAGAGGAGGAGGAGGAGGATGGACAGCTGCAAGGTTCAACAAGCTCCATCCGTGGCCTGCTTGAAAAAGGCAATTATTAGCTGTAAACCTCTGTTGTGACGTATAGAAAACCGGGGAGAGGAGCGAGAGGTCGATCAAGTTTGAATCCTGGTGAGAGTTCTCCTTAGAAAAACGGTTAGAGGGGAAAAAAAAAAAAAAAATCAAAACTGTCCAGAGAAAGAGCGTTTTTCTGCTAGTTAAGAGCCTTTTAACTAGAAGAACTTTTTTTGTGTTTCCTCCTTTACAAACGTAGTGCATCTGCAATCACTGGGAATTATGGTCTGTCTGGAAAAGGGCCTGTGCTGGGCTATGGAGAGGCTGCTGGTGGCCGCGGGGAGCAGCGTGTCACATGTGCGCTTCGGAGGCCGGGCAGCCCGGCAGCAGCTCCCCGTTCACCACGGTCTCCGACACCAGCATCTTGTCTTTGCCGGAATCCAGGCGCTGCTTCTTCAGCATCCTCTGGTGGACCAGCGGCACCACGGAGAGCACCAGGCCGCCGATGATGGGGGGGACTCCGGCAAAGTAAAAGGCCGCGTCGTAATTCCCAAAATAATCGTTGAGGTATCCTGGAAGAGAAGAACAATGGGGGGGGGGGGGGTTTGGTTAGAACCACACCAGTCTAAGCCCTCATTAGTCTAATGACTGGCTGGTTTCCTCCTTCCCGTGAGAGGTGCAGCTTGCGTCAACCGCCAGATTTGGGGAGATTTGGGTCTTTAAAATAATCTCTTTTTTTTTTTTTTTCCACTGCATTTCTTAAAGTTTTTATGCCCTGGATTGAAGGATGTGTGCAGCCAACATTGTGTACCAAGAACTCAAGAAGAAAACCCTCAAACATTCTTCTTCCTGTTTAACCAGAACAGGACACAATCGGACACATCCCAGACAATCCCAAATACAAGCTGGGACGCGTTAAATCAAACACTTCAGGTGACTCTTCCCAGAGGCTTGCCAGCCAGGAGACAATGGGAAAAGTGGGCAGGGGCTGTTCCTCTGCAGACTGTCTCCATCTGGAAACCCTGCTTTGCTTACAGATGTTTTATCTATGCTGCCAGTCACAAACAACAGCCGAGCCCTTAAAACCCAACGAGGTTCTGCATTTGTTCGTTTGGCAAGTTCCAACACAGCCAGGCATCCTTGGAGAATAACACACGGCCATTGATCAGCACTGGAAAATCCCTCTGAGTTTCTCCTGCATAGACACTTCCCTGGGGGTTCAGTCAATGAAATGGGCCCCTTCACCCAGCAAGTCCAATGCAGGGGGTCCTGCAGCAGTACCCTCACAGTGAGGGTCTTCAGCTCCCAAGTTCCTTCACGAGGGTGTTAAACTGAACTCTGCTGCCAGAAGCAGAGAGACCAGAGGAGTTTCTCCAGCTTTAGCTTGGTGCTCGCTGATGCAGGTGTTATGCTGTTCAGGGGTAGCTCTGGCAAAGCCCTCGCTGCTAAGGGTGTTGGGGTTATTGCTCTGCTTAAACACAGACCCAAGTCTTGTGGATCTCAGGTGTCTCCATGTCTAACTTTGAATCAATCCTAGAAAACTTAAATCTGCCAATTTTTAGCTCATCTTCAAGCAGAAATCAAGTTAGTGTGACCTTGGTTGACTGTTCCCCCAATGGTCACCTTTGGAGAAAGGCCCCGAGATACTACAGGACATAACACGGAGTGATGCCCCACCCATGCTTCAACCCCCCTGTGACAGGACAAACCAGAAAATTCCACACTGTGAGTCCTGTCTCAAGCCAAAATATGGCCACGGGTGAAAGCTGCTCCCACCACGTCCCTCCCAAAGCTGCCCCGGGTCCGGCACCACGGCGCTACCAACCTGCTATGGGTGTGCCCGCGGTCATGGGCACAGCCATCAGCCCCATGAGGTACCCGATGGCCTGGGACGCCTGCATGGGCCCCACCAGCTCGAAGGCGATGGGGGCCATGATGGTGGTGAAGAGGCCGTCGCAGAGGCCGAGGAAGAGGCAGATGACAATGACGCCCTCAAAGCCTTGGCACTGGGGGATCATCATGCACAGGATGCCCAACAGCATGAAGGACGCAACCTGCGGAGGCAAAAGCAGGCGTGAGAAGTGGGCATGTGCAGCAGGAAGAGTCATGAAGGTGACACTGAACAGGTCAACGTCATTGCTCTCTCCTTTGGACCCAGCAATGCCATCCATCTGCTGCGCCCGTCTCAGAGAGGCCCTTAAGAATAACCTTTTAAGAAGGGTTAAGAAGGATTAGCTGCTGGATTAGCTGCTAGATTTCAGCAGTTGTTCTTCAAAAACCACAGGAAGGTGAGAGGGTGTCAGTAGTTTGGGAAGAGTTGGTACCATGGACTTTCATTGCTGAGTGGACACTGGACAAGTGTGTAACTTCCCTTACACACTTCTGTAGCAAATTTTCTCCGCTAACAGCAGATAAGGATGTTATAAAACTATCAGTAAAGGGTTTACACTCTGTCGTTGACCAGATTAAGCAGATCAACGTAGAGATGCCATTCCCTGACCCGTGGTTGTTGGCCAGCAGCTACGAGAGCATTGGACACAACGTACCTGCAGGTAAATCTTCTTCAGCCCTGGGATGCAGTCGCCAATACGGCCCGAAACCAAGCGCCCCAGCCCCGACATGGCTCCGAGGCAAACCAGGAGGATCCAGTCCTTTTTGGTCTCTTGAAATCGCTTCTCCACGTATTTTACCTACAATGGAGGGAAGGACACAAGGACATGATGCCTCGGTAAAGTTGATCCCTGTCACCTCCCCAAAGGGGATGAGATTTCCTGCAGCTGGCTCATGTTTTTGGGGGTGATTGTGTGACCCTCGTGTCCTCACCACTCTGACCTGCACACACCACCTCCACCCACCCCAAACCAATAGGCTCTTCCTCTCCTGCTACCAGTGCTTGTCCTCAGGAGCTGTGGGGAGCAGCTGCACTGCCCACCCTGGCTCAGAGGACACATAGAGGCATTAAAAGGCCATATCCTCTCATCACTATTCCTGTTTACAGGATGTGCAGCAGTTTCTTGGTTTCGAGGTTTTCGGTGCCTCTGCCCCTACTGCCCATCCCCACCCTGCCACCTCCTCCTCCTTGCAGGAGCCAGGGATCTCCCTCCCCTTCCAGTCCCTGCCAAGGCTCTTACCAGGTTCATGTAAGGTACGAGGTATCCCAGGACAGCAGTGGCGATCCCAAAGGCCCAAATCCGATAGGTCTTTCTCCGGAAAACCCTCAGGTTGAAATACTTGCGCGTCTGGGCCCAGCACTGCTGCCGCACGCTCCGGCTGCCCAGCTTGTCCTGCCCGTCGTGCTGAGAGTCACAGGAGGGCGGCAGGATGGGCCGGTAGGTCATGGACAAGAAGATCTGGATGAGCATTAAGGCACTGAGTACTTGGAAAGTATGTGCCAGCCCAATGGCCTTCCCCACCATCTTCAGGAAGAAGGGCAGCGGCACGGAGATGAGGCAGCTGCCGCCGGCCACGACGCCGTTGGCCAGGCCAAGGCGGCGCTTGAAGTAGTGACCAAGGATGACCAGCGAGGGCTGGAAGGCAAAGGAGCTGCCACAGCCGAAGAGGATCCCATACGTGAAATAACGAACTTCCAGAGACCTAGTGGGGAAAAAAACACGTGGAGCTGGTGATGTTCAGGCAGAGGTACAGAAGGTCAGGAAGCCTCCTGCCCCGTGCTCCTGCCCCGTGCTCCTGCCCCGTGCTCCTGCCCCATGCTCCTGCCAAATAGGGTGTCAGGACACAGGTCTCACGTGCCACAGGTGCTACGCAGAAGGTCTGACCCCAAGGAGATTCCTCCCTAAGCAAGGATTATCCTCACTTCACAGCCGGCACATCAAATCTTGGGGAAAATGGAGTTTAGCTGGGGAGAGCTTTCTGCAACCAGGAGAAGCAGCAGCCAACCTGCCCTTCTTGGGAAGCTGACGTAACTTCAATGGTTTTTAAATTACAGCAAACAAGATTTTCTTAGGTAGGAAGGGTGGCCTATTTTTAGCCAGAAATCCCTTTTATTTTTCCACTGAAAGGACTAATTCAAAACATCGTGCACCCAGTGTTTGAAAGCACCAACCCTGCTGGTTATTAGGCACGTAGGAAGGAAACATTGTGTTTCTGTCCAAGCTCCAGGTTGGTTAATTAAGTTCTTCTTCTTTAAGCTCCTCTGGGAGCTTAAATTAGACAGTTAATAGATCTGATTTGTACCTTACATTGGTGGCTGCACTCGAGGAGGGAGTGAAGTGGCTGCTCTGTACAGCAGATGGAGAGCCCTGAGAGCCCTTGGAAGGAGCTGCTTCCCAATTGCCAGCCCAATTTTCCCAACAGAAGCCTCTGAGGGAGAAGCCTGGTGTTAGGCTGTGCAAACAACCTGTTGTGTTTGTCTCCAGATGAAGGACGTTTTTTCTTCATCACCGGGCATCACATCCAACTGCAAAGGTGGGATGCCACGAGACACCGCCTGGGAGGAGAGCGCGACAGAGGCCTTGGGGCCGCTCACGATGCCCAGCCCTCCTGTGCAATACTGAGCGCTGCTCATGGAGCAAGCGGGCAGACAGCAGCCCACATCTGACAGAGCAGCTGGAAGCTGGGAAAACCTTTACAAGCACATCATTCCTTCCATTACACGCTCGTTTCTTCAGCTTGCCAAGCGGAAAGCAGAACACGCTTGCTGTGCCCGACGGCTCCAAGACAAATGACTGTCAGGAAAGGCGCTTTCCAGCTACTCCAGAATGAAACCACATCAGAAGCCCCCTCTGTGGGAGCCAGGGAAGCAGCTGGGCCACGCAGGCTGTCTCCGACCTCCCACGCACCAGCGCTGGCCATCTCGGCTGGGTCACACCAGCTCCGGTGCCGCGGCTAAGCCGACGTGTCGGATCAGTGCAGACAAATGCCTCGGTTCCCATCTGCTCCCTGCTGATGCTAAGACACCCTTGCGTGAGCAGGGGCTCCTTCCAGCCATGCTTCTTAGCTGGGATTTCCCATCCTGCTTACTGGGAGTCAGCCAGCTGCTCTCCGGTGGGAAGGGCGGCATCATCTCCCTCGGGTAACAAGGTTGCCCGTGGATAATGATATGTCCCGGGACAAAGAGGTCTCCCTCCATCAGCTGCCTCTCGCTTCCAGCTCCCAGTGGGAACAGCCCTGGTTCATTCCTGCTGGCAGAAGTTTGGGGGATTCCTCTCTGCAGGATAAACTGGGCAGAAACTGTAGAGGGGAAGGAGAGGCAGATGAAGAGGGACTCAACCACCCCTACAGAACACTTTGCTGTGCAGAGGAGGAGGGTTGGGAGGGCATATGGAGGCAGCCCTGCTGAACTGCCATCATCTAAAGATGGTAAAACACCCCCCTTCACACTGGAGGGAAGGTGATGCCTTAACTGGGATTTCTCTTTTGTTGAGGGTGAGCAAGATCTCTGATGGCTTGAGCTGATTACAACTGCAGGAGACACCCCTGTGCAAGGCAGCAGAGAGGAAAAGTCTCGCCTCAACCCCATCCAGCCTTCCTCAGAGCTCAGCATTTCAGTATATTTGGTTTCTTTCATGGTTTTCGTACCAAACTCCCAACATTTTGAGAGCAGGAGGCCCTGAGCTGGGTGCTGGAGTCCTGCTGCGCAGGCTTGGTGGCTCAGAGAGGGTTTGGATCAGCTTGGTGTAGTGCTGGGAACTGCTGCTCCTCTGTTTGGACAAAACAAACCCATTTCAGAGGAACCAGGAGGTAGAGGGGGGATGAGCCTTGGCACAGACCTTCCCTCAGCCCACCAAACCCAGGCTGTGTCACTGCACCGGTGCCTGCAGCCAAGCCAGCACTGCGGGGTCATCTCCAGCTGTGGTGGGGGGAGCTGACAAGGGGGGGCCAGAAAAAAGCTTCTCCATTGTTCTGGGCGAGCAGCAGCCACAGGCTCGGAATTTCAGGAGCAGCCTTCAGCACCCGGCTGGAGCAGTGCCAAGCCCCGCAGCCTCGCTGCTCTTCCCCCGGCTCCGCTCGGCTCGCCGGCACAGCTTCCCTGCCCTGCTCCAGCTGCACAGGGGCTCCCTTCTCCCTTAAAAGGGAGCCAAAGGAACGTGATCCAAGAGTGAGAGGCAGGAAATGGGGATTTCAGTTCTGCAGCTCTCCTGGAAATAATATTCCTCTCTGCCTGTAGTGTTGGATTTTCTTCTCAAGCCCAACACAACCAGCCACTCCCAGCGGCTGTGCTCCCATCAGCCCTTCTTCTTTGCACAAATGTTGTACAATCTCTGCTGATTAGAAGGGAAGCAGGATTACATGGGAAGCTCCTGTGATCGTCACTGCCAGGGCACACCTTCCCTCAGGACCCGCTGCACCCTCTCGGATTGCTGTTATCTTTGGGAACACAAGGCGGTGGCACCTGCGAGGAAATCGCAGAGGGTGTTTCCTTCCACGCCACCGCCTGAGACGGGTTTAGTGTCCCAAAAACCCTGGCTATGATCGGCCACAGCCCCAGGGGGCTTTAGCCTTTGCTGCATCCCCACTGCCAGCACATCGGGGGGCTCCTGCAGCTGAGGATTTGGGGATCCAGGGAACCAGGGCTGGGACGAGCCTGAGGGTCTCACTGAGCAGTGTGAGTGGGAGCTGGTGTCCTGCTCCCACGGGCTCCCACGCAGGGTGGGCAGGAGGAGCACAGCTCAAGCAAGCAAGTCGCCTTCTGGAAAACTAGTGTGTATTTGCTGTAAAACCCCCACTTCTTGAAGCATTTTAATTAAAACAATATTGATTTTAACTGAAATCCAAGCCAAAGCAATGTTTTTCTTCAGCAGAACTGAGGCAAGTGCTACTTTGGAGGTGTCTCCACGGTGCCTCTGAGACTCTGTTTAACAAGTGTCACATAAATTACCCCAGAGGTGACCTCTCTTTGCTCCCACAAAGATGCCAGCGTCTGGGTTGGAAAGGCACACAGGTACACCTGCCATTTAAATGCACATCAGCCAGTGCCTGCCAGCAGAAATTCATGGCATGGGATCAGGGATGGAAAAAGAGGAACAGCAATGGCCCTGTGCTGCCGCAGACGCCTGAGCTGGAGCAGGAACACCACAAACTGCTCCAGATCCTGTCCACGTCCCCCTCCCTGTCTGCCCTGCACAGAAACTCCCTCTTAGGCGTAATCCGTCAAATATTATTTTAGGCATGAATTTACTTTCGGCACCAAATGTGAAAATGGTTGCAAAGGAGAACAGTTTTGTCTGGGAGTGCCTCTTTGGAGCTGCCCATGACAGGCACACCAACCCCTCCTCCCTGTTTTGAAGACTTAATGAAGGACCTGAGGGCTGAAGTCCCATAAAATGCAGTCCCTTGCTCAGGTAAAATTTGCTCTTTTTTTTTTTTTTATATATAAGGGCAAAAGAGCAACTTGGTTCAATTTGTAAAGAAACAGGCTGAGCACACGTGGGCTGAGTAGGGATGCCAGGGCACCTCTCAGCTGGCTGGGAACCACCTGCTTTGCCCCCAAAGGCAGCAGCAATGTGTTGGCAGGGGGATTGCAGGGAGTAGAGAGGAAGAAGGGCTCTCCAGGGAGCTGTGTGCCCCCTCCCCAGCCTTACTTGGTGAAGGAGCTGCAGAGGAGGCCGATGAAGGCGATGGCAGCTCCCATGGCTGCCGTGGTCCTGCAGCCGAGCCGGTCGGTGAAGATGCTGACGATGGGAGAGCAGAAAAAAATCATGCCCATGGCCAAGGAGCCGACCCATGCTGGGGAGAGAGAGAAGAGAGGTCGTGGTCAGGGTGGGACATCAAACAGGGACAAAGGGGGGCACAAACAGAGACTGACTCCAGCCTTGATGGCAGAGAGGCAGCCCCATCACACTGTTAATTAACAGTGCAGCTCATCCATAACACAGGCACCACCTGTGCTGCCCAACGGCATCGTGGACAGGGCAGAGTTGGAGGAGTGGACAAATTGTCCTTGCATTCCTCTCCACTGGGTTCATATGTGCCCCAGGGAGTGCACTGAGCTTCCAACACTTTTTCCTAACACCCTGTGCTCTGTGTGTGATGATGCCCCCACTGGTGCCCCTTCCATCAGGGCATCTCCAGGCCAAAAGCTTCCCAAGCTCCTCAGAACCCTCTGCTCCCCCACTTTGGCTAGGAAGAGTTTCCCATCCTGAGTCACAGCTCTGCACTCCCAGGTACCACACTCATCCATCCCTGCTCTCCAGAGTGAGGTCTCCTCACCTTCCCCTCGCCCCACCTTCAGTGACGAGTCCTTGTTGCAGCTGAGCTGATGGACACATGTGGTGATGCCAGGTTAGATTAAACCCCTGGCCCTGCCAGGTGATGCCCAAGCAGGACCATCCCCTCATGTCTCCTTCCAGCCACCTCTGGAGAAAAACACTGTCTGTCTGCCCATCTTTTCCCAGAAACTTCTATTATTCATGGGTTATTTCAGCCCATTGTGGAATCATGGAATTGTTACAGTTGGAAAAGCCCTCTAAGATCCTGGAGTCCACCCATTCCCCCAGTATTGCCAAACCCAGCACTTCACCATGTCCCCAAGTGCCACACCTACATGGCTTTTAAATCCCCCCCAGGGACAATGATTCCATCGGTGCCCCGGGCAGCTGTGCCAGGGCTTGACCAACCTTTCAGGGAAGAAGTTTTTCCTAACATCCAACCTAAACCTCTCCTGGCTCATCTTGAGGTCATTTCCTCTTGTCCATTAATTTCCCCCTGCCACCCATCCACCTTCTCTTTTTATTGTTTTATATGGTTATTCTGGGGAGGAAAGGCAACATTTCAAGAAAAGCACTGTGGTAAAGAAAAAAATTTAAACTCTTCCAGGTCTGATGGTCTGATGATCCCACTAGGGATCCCCTTGCTGGTGTGTGGGGCAGGGGAGAATGGGTAGGTGGACGAGGGGCCTCCAGCCCCACTCAGCACCCAAGTGGGGAGATATCCTGGAGCCCCTCCCAGCTCCAGGCAGGGGCTCTGGGCTGTCAAGCACAGCCCCAGGACATGTGTTCCTTCCTTTTTTTATACCTCTTTCAGGGTTGTTTTTTTTGAACCCAAACAAGGGCTCTGCAAACCTTTTCAGCACAGCCCCTCACAAAAACCCCCCGTCCTTCCAGAGCCCTGAGATCTTCAGAAAATAGCCAGGTCCCTATTAAAAGCAAATCCCAGCTACAGAACAGCCTCTCCAACCTCTGCCTTTCAAAAAAGGACCACACAAAGAAGCCCTCCCCAGCCTGGGAAGAGCTGACCCTTCCAAATTAATTATAAGTTCACAAGGACCCAATTTACTTCAGAATCTTCTTTAATAAATGCAGAGTGGAGCAATAAAATGAAAAGCAAGGGCCGGCGGGAACCTCGTGGGACCGGCCGGGCCCTTGTCTCGACACCAGGCGAAAAGAAGGGAGAGGGAGAGGGAGAGGACCCCCCTCTCCGACTGATTTTCTTGGTTATAAACACAAGGCACAGTGTAATGAAAGTCCTTCTAATAGGATTAGGTGGCACGGAGCCAAAGAGCCGTCCAAAACAACTCCGAGAGGGGGTGAGGGGTGGGAGCAACGCCAGGATGGGAAAGGCTCGTTAAATTGGATAATATACTTCCAGAAATGTTCCTTCTACTCCAGCCAAGGCAGTAAAACGTTAGATGGCCCCGTCATGTTTGAAGTTTGTTATTTTTGGAAATTACTTTAAGAAACGCGGAAATAAAAGCATAAAGCGAAGTATTAAATTTAAAGGGCCAGATTCTGATCTTAATAACCCGGGGATTTGCATGCAAATAAGCAGGATCAATCTCTGGCCCCAAAAATGCACACTCACCTGCAGAGATCAAAGCAAACCCGGGGTGGGAGGCTCAGCAACGGGTGCTTCAAAGCTCCTCCAGCTTTGGGTTTGTAAAGAGGACATATCGCTCAATTAAAATCGGTAAACACACCAAAAAAAAAAAAAGAGTCCTGTGGCAAATTGCTCTACCTTAGAGAAAGGGCTTACCACAAGCAATGAATAAAAATAGGCTTGGGGAAGAACATCAAGTTAAAATTAGTAAGAACAATAGCCTCACTTCCAGAGCGGGGTTTTGTCTTCCCAGCGCTTCCCAGCGAAGCCCCGGGAAGCCGGGAGGGCTGGGCGAGCTCCAGCGCTGGAAGGAAACCTCGGCAAAATCTGGGAGATCAGGAGAAAACCATCTCATTCCCGGCTCTGACCCTGGTGTGATTCACACCAAAACACCCCCGGAGAGGGGGTTACACAACTTTTTACCCCCTGCTTTATTCCCACCGTGGTGCCGGTGACCTCCATCCATCTGGGTCTGGGTGAGGCTGGAGGAAAGTCATGGCAGAAAAACACAGGTTGGGAAAACATCAGAGGTCAGGTGAAGCACAGCCCCAGACCTGCCCCTTTGGACATGGAGCTTTAGTCCCTGGATCCACTCCAGGGGATGAAGGTTTATTTTTGGCGATCTGTGTAAGTGGCATTGAAGTTTCTCCCGGCCTTTCCTGGATGTGAAGGGCAGAGGCAGCCATTGCTCCAGTGGAAAGCAGATGGGGTTTAACCACCTTTATTTCGACAACTCCTCCAACGCTGGAGGAGTTATGACTTGATTTAAAGCCCACAGGAGAAAAAGGGAGGAATCTTTGCTTGTGATTTCCACGGGGATTTGGATGAGATGGTTAATTCCCAGCCCTGCCACACCTCCAACCCTCTGTGGCTGATAACCTGGGCGAGATATCGAAGCACAGACAAGCCCCCACAGGAGCCACGGAGCCTTATCAAGCAGCGAGGTGCAATCAGGCAGATCCTAAAAGAAAGGATGGACCAAATCCAGCTGAGGATGGGGCTGGAAGGAGCTCAAGAGCTGCCAGAACTTTGACAGGAATCGGGTTAAGACTTGATTGTCTTTCAAGGTGCCATGAGTCCAAGCACCTCCTGGGAGCACCAGCTGAAGGGACTGGTTTTGGAGCTGCCCAGCTGGGTGCTGGGTGGAAACCGGTCTGGTGACACCCAAGAAACATTCTCTCCAAGGGATGCCTTGACAGAAACACAAAATCCTCCAGAAACTACATTTTTATCTTAAGGGCGAAAAAAAAAAATAAAAAGGCATTTTAAGCACTCTGTTTTTGGTGAGGGGGAAATGGAGAGGACTTCTGATTTGGGGGCTGGGGGTATTAGAGGTGGCTCAAGGCTCACTGTCCCTCCCCAATAATCATTCCCACCCTGCTCCTCCTGGAGGCAATGGAACAGCAGCTGGGATGCCCCTGGTACATAAACCCCACTCCTCACTGCTCCTTGAGGGGGCTGGGGGACAGCAACAGCCTGAGCTGCCAACCCAGCCCAGGCCACCCACAGCCCTGCCTTCCCCCAGAGCTGATGGGACCTTCCTGGTGGTCCTGGGATGCTCTGGAATACGGGAAGAGCCCAGCATGGGGCTGGTGCTGCTTTGCTGGAGCAGAGAGGGTGACCAAGGAGAGCATTCCACCATCAGCTCTCACACAGGGCAAAGCTCCAGCTAAAGCTCCACAAATTGTTCCTTCCCACCTTGGCTTAACAAAGGCAGCCAAACTGGTGGCCTGTGGCTGGTCCAAAGCAATGTGGCCTTCACCACGGACAAGAAACACAGTGGTTGAAGATCTCCAAGGGGAAAAGTGATTCAGTGGTGCAGGAAAACACAGAATCAGAATGGTGTGGGGTGGAAGAGACCTTAGAGATCATTTAATCTCAAACCCCCTGCCATGGGCAGGAAGGCCTCCAACAAGATCAGATTGCTCCAAGCCCTGTCCAACTTCACCTTGAACACTTCCAGCTGCTCTGAGTAACATGGTCAACGTGATCCATCCTCCCCAACACTGCTCACTCTGGGCTCAAGACAGAGTGAAAGCTGGGGAGGTGACCCACTTGGGCACCAGCCCATTTTCCCACCAACCCAACACCACCAAGCTGTGCCCACAGTGGAGGAGCTCTGGGACCAGGCTGTGGCCAGCAGGTCTGCTCCTGACAGCAGGTGACAAGGCTGCTGGGGACCCTGTGGCAGAGGAGAACTGGCATGTGGGGGCCAGGGGGCTCAGCCCCCCCTGCAATGGGGCTGGTGATGCCTGTGAGGGCTGTGAGCACCATGTCTGCATGTTCATGGCAGCAAGAGGTGGGCAGGGCCCCCAGGGTCAGTTCAGGTGGGTCCCACGTGCCGGACACCAGGCCAGCTTTCTTTTCAGCAAGACCAGGATGAAAAACTCCTTCATGGCTGGAACTTCCCTGAGCAGAAAAAGGTTTCTGGGAGCAGAACAAGGTGGGAGCAGGAAGGTGACAACCAGCAGAAGAAAATCTCACCACTGAGACACAGATCCAAGCCCCGCCGGTGCTGAGCTCATTGTTCCAAACAGCACCACTAAAAAATCCTACTGTGTAGCACTTGTGGCCAAGCCTATTTGTTCCTTTAAAACCGAATCTCCAGGGAGAGAGAAGGAAGGGACGTCGCTCTCAGCTGTGCTTTCCCGCTGACCCAAATACCCCGGGCTGGAGGGATCAAGGGCCAGGAGGTGACCTCAGATCCGCCGCTGGAGGAAGTGTCTTCCCTCGCTTCCCGCGGCTTCTCCCGCTCGCGCCGCGCAGCTGGGGCAGGGACACGGCGCGCAGGGTCACCTTCCCCAGCACCTGGCGCTTCTCTGAGGGGAGCTGGGGGAGGTAGCTCACATCCTCCTCCCCACCTGCACCACTCCTCCAAGAAATAAATGGTTTTTGGACTTGCTCCAGAGACA